CATACGTTCAGGGTATTCCAGGTACTTCTCACAGCTACTTTATCATATGAACTAAGGACATCCTAACATGAATGCTAGACAAGCATTTATAACGTAACCCAATGTAATAAAAACAAAAGAGAAAACCCTCAAAACCACCGGTATTGAGACCATTCAGAGCGGCTTGCAGCGGGCATCAGGCCCCAGTCTAAGCACGCTGTCGCCTGGCCAACTTAATCGCTGGTGTGAATCCATCAACTTCATTCAGAAGAAATATTCTGTGGTATAAATAAAACCAGTCATACTACGGTAGCGACTCCAAAGGGTCAGGCAGGATGCGAGTCCCATTGTGCTCCTTCATACACAAACACAATGAGGTTCAGCCCTCTGGGGTAGAGCCTCTGTCAATGTTTCTGCCTTTTGACAAAGTGTTCCATGTTCCGTAGGATACTTGTTTCTGGATTCATAGCACTGAACATGTATACAAAGCTTTACAAAACAGGGCATATTTACAAGAGAGGCATGGCTATCAGGCATACCTTTCTCTAAGGACTAAAACAAATGTATGTTTCTTCAAAAAAGAGCAAAAGAGCAAAAAAGAGCAATACATGTCCAAGCAGAAGGTAGCTAATATTGTAATACACACAACAATGTCATTCCCGTGGAAGCACACAGTTTCTCTTGCTTTTTACATTATTGTCATGTGCATACATCGGGAATATTGAAAGATCGAGGTGAACTGCTGGTCCCTTTTTGAAGCTAAAATCAAATGTTGTTCAGTAAGACTAGGGTTTCACCCCTATAGACTTAAACGTAAGAAATAAGACCATGTGTGGTCTGCAGGAAATCTGTCCTGTATTTGTATTCATTAATTGAGTAAATGAGAAAGTATCTCATCTCAAGACATGAGGAGTGGCACATTCAAGCTTTATACTGGGAAAAACAACAGCACTGCATCTCTTTAGCACAAACATAAACTGAGCAGTAAATATCACTCCAGAAATAATGCTTCGTTCCAACTGTGTCGCCTTCTGATACGGTGGCCAGTGTGTCCATATTCCTCTTTTAGCCTTTAACAGGCACTGAGTTTGGATTTAACGCTCCAGCCAAGAAACACAGTATCTAACAGAATACATAGATAGAGCAAAGTATCCCCAGTCAAGTCGAATTGAGAGCAAATCAGTACCTATGCACTGCTACCTGCGTACGTAAAAAATAAAGCTCATTTCAAAGCACACATGCACACACACAGAGGCACAGAAAATGCAACTGAAACGTTTAATAGCCATCACAATGCTTCTAGGGATCTATGCCTCCTGCAAATGTTTGGCAAGAGCTGGGGCTTTTGTACTGTGTTGGTGGTGGGGACACAAACTGCAAGTTTTCAACTTGCAGCGAGTATTCAGAGCGCAAGGGTGAGTAAAGAGCCTGAATAACTCTGTGCTCAGATTTTTAAATGCTGCAATGGCACCAGGAAGCTGATCTGTGGGCTGTACTTGCTGCCCATCTCACAGATCATCCTTATCCCCTCCTAGGACAGTAGGGCATCAGTCCCATGTACCGGTGACAGCCCAAGTCCATGCTCTTAACATGGAAGCAAAACATGCTGAAGGAAACTTTCTGGGTAGCTTAGAAGTTTTTTTAATAGATCCTTCCAAGGATAACAGTTCATCAACACAGGCCCCCTCTGCCTACGTAACTAATGCCAAGGGTAGAAGCCATGCATTGGCTACTGCCATCAGTTAAAGAAAGGTAAGAAACAACCACAGCAAGGAAGTACAAATGATTAAGAGCCACCCTAAAAGCAACTTGCCCACTGATAAAGGCTAATCAGAAAAAGACCTGTGCAACCCCTGCAATGTGTAAGTCTGGTAAATCCAGCTGTGTGATAGCAGAAAAAAACCCTGTATTCTGGGTTTTTTGAAGCACCCCATGACTGACACAAATGCTCCAGCTGGAACAAAGCCAACAATTAATCAGAATTCGTTACAATTTGGAGGTAAGAACAAGAAATACAGAAGTATCCATGAGTTCTGAACATTCCTCCAGGACAAAAATCTATTACTTCATAGAAATCCATTAAAACACTTCATCTAGCCTTTTAATCCCTCTTAACAGATTTGCTTTATCACAGAGAGAAGAGCTAATCCTCTCCCACCTGTCTTTATGATATGGAACGATAAACAAGAGCAAGTACTTTTCATTTGTTAAGCATTATCCCCCCTTGGATAATGCTATCATCCACACATCCAGCATCAGTATAATGAAGAAGCGAAAAACACCCCAGCTCTCTCAAATTCTCACCCTAGTAGTGTATTCCTCCAGCAGGGAATGGGGAAACTTATTTCCCATGTTTCCAAAACTCATCTCTTACCCTAAGTTTCAAGACATTAAGCAAACCAAGACTTGAATTCCAGCTTGCTTGAGAGACTTCCCTTTTCTCATCCCCGACCTTCCGCAACACACTTCAGGACTCTGCTTCGTATAACCAGATGGCAGGCTCGTTCAAATCGATCACCAACCTATACAATTAGGTTAGTAGGTCAGCTGAACTTATCACTGAATTACACAATCATTTTATACAGAGGTATCTTTGTTTTTCAAAATAAGATCTCAAAGCCATCTGAAAACAATTAAGAAATCATTTTCATGATCTACACTGTAACAGATCTCTGACAGGCTACAGGCATGCAGAAAGTAACCTGAACAGCCCACCGACAAATTTTGGTTTTTTTGGTTTCAGTTTTGAAGAACTAAAATCTGCAGTTCAGTCTCCTCATCACCAGAAACCTCATTAGCCTTTAGCAAACCCCCTTACAACAAAATACAGTATCTCTAATGGTCACTCCAGTTGCCATATTGTAGGAAACAGAAAAGATTATAACAACTGACCACTTAGGGGATATCTAAAATAACCTTTATCTCTTCAAGCTGGGGAGGCTTACTTGATACATCTGTCACCTTGCTCGATTTTTTCCACTAGAAGGATATTCATTATCTGTCTCCCTGAAAGAAGTCACAGTCATTTCTACAGCATAAGGCAACGACCCTACATTTCCAGGGGATCTGAAAGTGAACTCAAATATATAGATGTACATTAAGTACAAATGATACAGCACATCTAACCCAAGAAAAAACCTATTATTCTCATTGCTTTAACACTGTCTTCTCTACATATTAACGCATACCTGGCACTCAGAATACCATCTAAGACATACAAGGAAATGTTATCTTCTCATTACTGTGTAGGTCAGAGTCAAATTTTCCTCCTAAGGAACTGCAACCTGAAGTTATTCCCAAAATTTAGTTAAGTTAATAAAGGGAGCATTAGTGCATGTGACTAACTAACTAGAGCATAGGTTTTGTTGTTTTTTTCTAAAGAGATCTGAAAGAGTGCTGTGACATAGCTCACAATGGAAGATAGTCATTAAAAGACTGAGTTCATGTGGGTCCTTTGGGCTTTCTTCTCTTCTGCTAGGAACCAAACCAAACCCCCGTATAAGTCACCTGGCTGAAAAAAAAGAGAGTCAGAGGTAAGCAGTATAATGTTTTTCCTGAAGAGGAATAACTAACACCCTTTGAGCAAACTTACTCAACACAGAGCTGGATTGTATCCAGTTATGAAAAGGCAGTTGGCTCAGTATTTTTGAGTGTCAGTACACAGTCTTAAAAATGGTCATATCTGACCAACGGTGACTGTTTGACAAGGATTTCATTGTGCCCAAGGGCTGTTTGCAGCTGTCACTGCAAGAGAAGTATCGGTGATAGGACGGTAGTGCAAAGCAAGTCGCCCGCTCCTCAGAAACATTCTTCTCTTGGCTTTGCTTCATCTCATGAAAAATAAACCTTGGAAAGCACTTTGTATATAGACATTACCGCCCCACAAGCCTCCTCGCCTGTCAGTTTTGCCACGCTGAGGCTGGGAGAACAGTATCGCCAACTGCATACTGCAAAGCAAGTGGTTTCCTAGATGTAGTCAGATGATGATTTCACTGTACACCTCACAGAAGTCACCCACACCACTCAAAGAACGCAACCTTTCAGTCAGCTAATTATACGACACTGGAGCAGCTTTGACAGCGTTAACAGCAAAAGGCAGGCTTACTCAAATCATCAATACGCTAGGAGTCAGAACAGCTTGAATATGGCAATGCAAAGCAGCAGGACTTCAAAATGAAAAATATGACACACTTATCAAGTTATTGCTGTGTTCTTGAAGTGGAGTTTCTCTAGAACCACTTACTCTGAATACCATGTGAAATTACATCCATTTAATAAACTTTTTACTTTAGAACTGTGATGTTAGCCTTGACCCACATGAACAGAAGAATGAGGTTTCCCCATTCAGTCTTAATGAAAAGCTTTTTTGTTGAATATGTGTTAAATGGCCACAAGCAGCTGTGACACTTAGGTCACCCTTAAGAGCCTTTAATTTAAAGACAGAAGACAGATTCAGTTGACATTGGGGAAAAGAACCAAACAAGCCACAGACATAGGCACGGACACACACATCCCCAAATTTCAAAGCTAGAAAGCTACAGCAAACACAACCGTTATTTTTTTTATCCTGCCTCTCGCTTTTTATTTACGTTTCAGCTTGGTAGGTTCATTACGTCAGCTGATGGACAATTTAACCAGCCAAGAAGTTCTATATAGGAAAATTTAAAATAGGTTTATGTGTTAATTTGGTATTCTATAGGAAACAAAAGAACCTTGAAAGTTATGGTTTCCTCCTCCACAACTGCATTTCCAAATGCTTTGGTAAATAACTAGGGCCCACGCTTCTTAGTGCTGTTAAGCACAACATATACATTCAATTATATTAAATATCCCATAGCAAAAACTTACTAGATATATAGTTAGCAAACTTAAAGTTAGGTGAACTAAACTAGAGCACAGTGGTTCTGAAGTATCAATAGGAAGTCATTTGCTACCCGATAGACCGCAAGGAAGAGAAACCCCAGCAACCCAGAAATATCTGCATATAGCTCACCTATCATTGTAACAAAAGAACTCAAGAGCCGTTTTCATTAATTAATATATTTTCTGCATTATAGTTAACATATGTACTTTCTTCGTGTCATCCTTATTTCGTTAAGTATTGATATTTTGTTATATTCAGACATGAGTACATTTTCAAAGTCTTTTGCAATAAATATCATAAAATAATAGAGATTCACATAATAAATATTCTTTACAATAAAAAAAGTTTTAACAGACTTTTGTCTTAAAAATAGTTGGGATTCAACTTTGTGTTTTATACATAAAATATACAAAAAAGACCACAATTTGTGGCTAAGGCAATAAAACAGGGACAGAATAAAATTATGAAGTACAGAGCAGAGCTAAAGTCACTAAACCAAAGGACCACAAGAAACTTTAAGGATTCAAGAACGTTTAGGTGACTCAATGACACCTGAAGGCTGTTTGGCTATATGAACACCACCAACTTTAATATCAACTGATACTGACAGGCCATAAAAACAGGAGTAGGAGGGTGGAGTGAGCAATATCCTTCAAAGAACTGACAGCAAAAGAAACAAATGAGCATGTTGCAGCCATAATGTCTCCAATGTGAAGATCTACATAGTGTAAAAAAAAAAAAAAAAAAAAAGGAGTCAGGGTAATTCTCAGGACTGAGAATGTTCCAGAAGTTAAGACAAAAAAAGGCTGGGGGAAGCAGGGGGAAGGCAAAAAAAAGCAGGCTGCTTATAGAAGAGTCAGGCCTTTCATTTGGTAAAGCCTTTATTTTACATCCCTCTCCAGAAAGAGCACACACAAGAAGTTGTTTCACAATCCAGCTCACTCATGAAAGTTATTCTTCCTTGGTACCCAGGGGGTTAAGGGAAAAAAATAAAAATAAATTGCTGAGAACGACAAACATCTTTGGGAAGATATTCACAGAGTAAGAAGCTTCAAAAGCCCAGTGAGCCCTCACTGTCTCTTTCAGGAGTGGTTCAGTTACAAACTCAAAAGACCCTGCCAAAGTGAATGGCAGATGCAGATACCAGGTCCACACTTACCAAAGAGCAGCAATGACTACGTAAAACGCTCCACACTCAGCCAAGTCAATAGGAAGAGGAGAGCAAAGATGCAAAGGGAAGAACTTGTGTATTTCAACTTGGGGAGACAGAAAGGAAAGCAAAAGAACAGCCCCCCCAAAAAGGGGGAGGGAGGGCAGTGGAAAGGAGAGGGGGGGAAAAAAAAAAAAAAAAAAAAATCAGCTACAACCTGAAAAACTGAAGTTGGAGGAAGTAAACCTCCCTCCAAAAATCATGAGGGCTTGCCCTGACCCCGGGAGGGGCAGCTCTCCAGTTTACAATACACGGTGTTTGAGTTCTTGCATCGGCAACCTGGACGATTGATGCGGTCGTAACACCCTCGACAGAGTTTTAGGCATCCTTTTGCAGGAGGGTAGCAGAGCAAGCAAGGCAGAAACAAGGACATCGCTCCCATGCACAGGTACCTAGAACAGCAGTGCGCCTGGGAACAAGAGCAGGGATTATCCGCGTAAGAGTCCCCTTCATCGTCGTTAGAACAGTGGTAGAAGATCCCTTTGACCAAACACATGCAGGTGCTGTACTCCACCATGCTCTCGGCAGAGCACAAGCACTGCCGGTTGCAGGCCAAGCAAGAAGGGAGGGCCCTCGGCGCCGTGCACTCACCGCACTTGCACTTCCCACACTGTTCGCAGATAAACTTGTGCTGCGCCAAGTCCTCTTTCAAAGGACCCTTCAGATCATCTACAATCAGAGACGACTGCTTGGGCTGCGTCCGGATGGTCCGGTCGGACCTGTGGCCTGAGCCCGGCCGGGATGGAGGGGACCGCCCCAGCAGCCCCTGCTCCGAGGAAGCACTGCTGTTGCTCCCAGAGCTGGCCGCGCTCCCTGTGCTGGTTGATCTGCTCAAGACGGGAGCCCTGGCGTTATGCTGATGAGCCACGTGCCCCACGTGGCTGGGTCTGTGTTCGTAGTTATTATTCACATTAATTGGTATAATTTCGTGAGTCCTTTCATGCTTCTCTTGCCTTGGTGCTGTCCGCGGACCAGATTTTTTCACCACAGATGGACCTTCGGTGTATTCGTTGCTGCCCCTGATCGCCTTGATCTGGTCCAGTGACAAGATAGTCGTTGGCTGGCTCTCTCTTTCATAGTCCAACCGTTGCCGGCTGTCCAAGGAGGGCTGCTGAATCACCACTAGTGAACCACCGCTGCCATGCTGACTTTGGGGCTCCATCTGTAGTGATCTCTACTTCTGGCATTCAGTGGGAACCTGGCATGCATCTGAAATCCTAAAAGAAGAAGACAACAGAAGGTATAAATAAACATTGTGTGTGTACATATATACACACATACACGAGATCAAAGGCAAAAGAGGAATAAAGAAGGGGATACTTTTTGAAAACAGAAATGGTATGGCAAACCACAAATTGCCCTAGCCACCTGGTACTGATCTCTTTCAGCAGGGGATTACAACAACGCTGAGGATCTGGCCAAAGTCCAGTAATGGGGAGACTCCCGGGTATGGCATCATAGATGAGGAATGCAAAGGAGACCCCATGCCATTTAAAAAAAAAAAAAAAATAATTCCAGTATTAACCTGCATGCTTACTTGGCAAGTGCCTCTCACTTGCTGCTGAACTCAACAACTGCCTAACTGGCAATAGCAATTCTGAACGCCCCAAAACCTACGTTTTTTGCAGGCAAGAACACCTTCAAGTTCATGTTCAGTATGGCAGAACACAGAACACGCACAAGTCTCACTCTTCTGTCTGAACCTGCAGCACCAGAAAGTTCAAGCAGATTTGCTTGCTAGTACACATTTGGAAAGTCTCCTCTCTAAAGCGACGTTGTGCACTACAGAGTATCAAACTAAGTACTGTCAAGTAACCAAGATATTTTCTGTAAGAAAGCAACTCGGCATACAAATCTAATATGCTCCTTATAAAATCAAAGCAAGGATGCAGACAGCCAGTTTTCAAGTATTTTCTGACCACAGGCCAGGGGGTGAAAGAAGAAGGGGTAGAAAAGGCTAAGATGAACTAGGTGTCAGACGAAAAGTACCTAAGGATTCATAGAATGTTAAGACCAGATGATAATAACCCCCCAAAACCACCAAACCTCAGAACACTGTCAAAGAACAAATCCATTTTCACAAGACAGACAGATTAAAAGCTTCTCAAATAAATACACCATCTTCTAGTCCATGTTTTAAATAACTGTTATGCACATCCATTCGTTTTCATTCTGCCTATCTATCGACACGAAGATTGCAACGCTGACTGAGGAAAATGCAGTGACAGTTCTGTACCTAGATATAAGTCACAATTTTTATATAAGTGCCACATTTATACAAAGAACCAAGAGAATAAACCGCTTTCTTTTAGTGACAGCTGGGGGGAAAGCCCCTTTTCACTCCTCCTGGGAGGTCATACACGTTTACCTGAAAGAGAAGTAAGTGCTATCAAGCACTTCCAAAACTCATCCAGTAATGACCAGAAAGAGCCTGCCTTGCCTACCCAGACTACAGCCGGCACGGAGCTGTTCCCCACCTCAGAGAAAAAGGGATGGTGGCGTGGAAGCACAGGGACAGACAAGAAAGCGCAGGGCAGGTTACTTCTAGCAGGTATCCCTCTGCCTGCTAATAAAGGGCAAGTGCCAGCTCCTGCCAGGACACAAAGTCTTTGTGCTCATCCAGCAAAGATTTCATTTTACATTTAATGTCACCCGTGCAGGCTTTAGGGTCACCAGACCAATAAAAAGGAAACCAAACAGCCAAACACGTTCACTTCTAATTCACTCCACATAACAAGCTGTCTTCTTCACAAGCACTGAACACAAACCCACAACAGACCGAGGGTGAATGGATGTGAAAAGGGAAAGATTTACAGCTGCACCAACCAGGAGCTGGGCTCCCCGGGGGATGAAAAATAATATCCCAAGAAAATGCGAAAGACATCCAGTGCCATCTTTGGGGGGAAAGTGCAACCTCACCACGGCACGCAGACTGACAAGACCAGCTGCAGACCAGGCGGAGAGCGGCACCGTTGAACCAACCGCCTCCACCCCCGTGCAAATAAGTCTTAATTAAACTGGGTGTCCCGTCCCGTGTCCGTCCCCCCCCCTCCCCAAAACAATAAAATAACAGACAGCAAAGACGGCGAGCGACCTCATGTTTCCGCACGCAGGGCAGGCAGAGCCTGCAGTGCCCTCGCCGCCTGTCAGCCTCCCTCCCACCTCTGCCGTGGCCGTGTGCCGTGTCCCCCCACGCCC